CTCTGACTCTCTGACTCTCTGACTCTCTGACTCTCTGACTCTCTGACACCTGCAGTTCTTGCTTTCTCCATTGTGCCACAATAAGATTTTTTCAAGATCTGTATCTATCCTTATCACACACTTTGGTGCAAATGGAACACAATCATGATCAATTAGCTATGAATATAGGGGAGCATCTTTTGTGATAGTAATGGGAGAACTTCAAAACCCACATTCAATACACTATTTCAAAGAACAAAAGGAGAGTTACTCCCAATTTCCTGGCCAATATTCATCACTCAAATCAACATTACTGGAGTTCACTGAACATAAATTGTCTATGCATTTCCCACATCATAGCAGTAATATATTTTTTAAAGAAGTACTCCTTTGTCTACATAGCACTTTCAGATGTCCAGAGATTGTAAAAAGATCCATTAATATCTTTCTTTAATAGCAATTTGGACATACATTTTCCTACATTATTTCTGACCAGTGTTTGATGGTTAGGAATGAGTCAAGGGTCTGCCCCAATTATTTGAGGTTGACAGCTGGGGATGCAACGATAACCGGTTTATCAATGACAGCTTTTTGCTGCCCTGATCAATCGTTATTTCAGTTCTCTAATTGGTTAATCAGGGACTTCAATTATGTGCTCAAAATGGAGGAGACATTTTGAATGAATGCAGACACAAATGGTGGGACATCCCAGCCCTTACGATTGGCACAAAAGGTCCATTACTAGCACGCATGATTCTCATCAAAATTTGCCTCTGCTCAAAAACGATCCCACCATCCATTCAACAACTCTTCCATTCACCATCCACCCACTCCCACTTTGGGATCACACATATTTACAAATAGTAAAATGGGGCCACACCAGGAAGAAGTTTGGAAAGTGCTATTCTAGAAGGTTTGGGACATTTTCAGTGTAGTAGAGCCAAAAGAAACACTGATACAAATGGGGGCAATGTATCAGTGGGAGAAATAAGGATCAGGCCATACCAACAACTCAAAAGGTCAATCGTGGGTTTTCAAACTCTCATTTCTACTTTATAAGCTTATGCTCAAATTATGAGGTGCATCAAGTCTCATTTATGCTTGAATAAAAATGGAGTCAGCTACGACCCCATCCAAAAGACAGAACAAAGGTAACTCAAACATAGAGACCTACCCAGAGCTAACTAATAGTTCTTGGCATATTTTGCTCCAAATGGGATCCTCATCAGTTAAGGAAGGAAAACATTCAAGGGGATGTCATGTTGCAGTTGTACAGGACATTGTTTGCAGTATTCTAAAAGTGGCCTCACCAATCTGGTTGCCCTTCTACAGGGAAGATGTTGTTAAACTTCAGAGGATGCAGTAAAGATTTGCAATGATGTTGGCAGGATTGGAGGGTCTGAGTTATAGGGAGAGGCTGAACAGTCTAGGGCATTTTGCCTGCAGCGTCGGAGCCCGAGGGGTGATCTTATAGAGGTTTATAAAATCACGAGGGGTATGGATAGGATGGATAGCCAAAGTCTTTTTCCTAGGATGTGGGAGTCCAAAACTAGAGGGTATTTAAAGTGAAATGGGAAAAGATTTAAGTGTGAACAATATTATGGCTTTAAGAGGTATATTTTGTCCTGTTTGGTTTTAAATGAAGAGAGGTTGAGACAGAGGTGGGAGTGGTCTGCTCAAATGCATTAAACAGTTTGTGAGGCCTTGGGTGTTTTTTTTTTAGAAAGTTGAAACAATAGAAATAGCTTGAATGGTTGGGGTCAAACTCCCACAGAACCAGGATTTTTAGTTTAGCTTTCAGTAGTAGTTGCTGGGGGTGTAAGCTGTTTTTCCTCTCCTTTACAGCTAAAAACTCGGGTTCTCTTCCTGCTGTTAGAATTGCATGTGAGACAATCTATGCTTTTGACTTTGCCTTTGCCAAGGGTGTTGCTTATGGGATGTTATGATATTGGAACAGTTAATGAGTAGTTTTTATTATTTTGTAAATATTTCAACAGACTTACAGTTAAGCCAATTCTTTTATTTTTATGCGTCTGTATTTTAACTACAGTGTATGAATAAAATGTGTTTTGCTTAAAGCCCAACAGTTTGACCAATCAAATTGCATCCAGAATGCAATATCTGGCACTTGCCTTTAAAATAAGAAAAAGATAGGATCTCGGCTATCTCCTCAGCCTGTTTTGAGGGAGTTTGGTCTGGTCCGTAACAGAAGGACAAGAGGGGTACCTTTTTAACGCAGGAGGTGGTGCGTTTGAATTAGGGGAGGCAATGGCCGAGTGGTATTATCGCCGGACTGTTAATCCAGAGACTCAGATAATGTTCTGGGGACCTGGGTTCGAATCCCGCCACAGCAGCAGGTGGAATTTGAATTCAATAAATATCTGGAATTAGCCACCTAATGATGACCGTGAATCCATTGCAAATTGTTGGAAAACCCCCATCTGGTTCACTGATATCCTTTAGGGAAGGAAACTCCCATCCTTACCTGATCTGGCCTACATGTGACCCCAGATCCACAGCAATATGGTTGACTCTGAACTGCCCTCTGGGCAATTAGGGATAGTCAATAAATGCTGCCTAGCCAGCGACACCTTCATCCCGTGAATGAATAAAGTGCTTGTATGGAATGACGTGCCAGAGGGACTGGTGGAGGCAGTCAGAATTACAACATCTAAAAGTCATCTGAATGGGTACATGAATAGGAAAGATTTAGAGGGATATGGGCCAAATGCTGGTAAATAGAACTAGGTCAGATTGGGTGGTCAGATCACTGTGAACGAGTTGGACCCAAGGGTTTGTTTCCATGCGTACGGCTCTGATTGTCTGAGCATAGGACACTTGTATGCACCAGAACAATTAGGGAAATTCATTCAGGAAGACATAGTCAAACAAACAAAAGTTCATGCGGCAGACTGTGTGTCATTTCAGAGCAGCTGAGGCCTGGCCTCTCACCAAAAAGTGACAGTTAGGAATGGCATACACAGTATTGAGAACTAAGAAATGTGAGATGTTATGTGTGACAGATAATAACTGTCTTTCTAACAATTCAAAAGGGGACTCGTATCACAAGGCTGGATGCAGAGCCAAGTAACTCCAGGCAAAATCAAGAAAAACAACAACAGGCTGCTGCTATACTATGCAGATCATGTTTGCTCTCAAAAGAATGATAGAAATTCTCACAGCAATGAGAGAGACTAGGGAAAAAAATGCCAGCGGATGGAAACCAGGAATGGTGAATGCTAACCCAATTCCAGTGGCTATGGTAACACCTGTAGAGTTCTCAGAACTCAGCAGATAAAAGAAAAGAGTAGAGGATTAGAAAACTAAAATGAACTGCTGAAACAACAGTTCAAAAGTGAAAAACATACCCCGAGTCGAAAACAACACTGAAGTTGCTGATAAACATGACCTGCTTTAGTGCCAAGAAAATGAAACACAAAAAGTACTGATTGAAAGGAATTTCCAAGGATGCTAGAATTTCATTTTGTGAGTCTCCTCACCTTAAATGTTTAAAAAGTTATAGCTTTTTGTTTAGAAATATGTGACTGCATTTTTTGTCAGCAACACAATTAAGTGGATCAATATTACCAAGTCGCATGGAAGTGTGAATGTGACTAATTGAACACGTTAATTTCAATTTAAGATTATACAACTAGAAAACTGTGAATTGCATTTCGTATAGGGTCTGGCTATGAATTTTTCAACTGTTGTCACTCAAAGGCAAAGAAAACGTTCTAAAAGATGAATTTCAATCATGGCGCTACAATCACCTGGTAGAAACTGAATTTGAACTGTTCAAAACCTTCATAATAATTGGTCCAAATACAGGTTTATGCAGTTTCAATTGAAGACTTGCAGATATATTTTAAACCAATTTCAATGTTTACAAAGCACTATTACTGATGACACAAAGACAGACACTATTGTAAGCAATGCAAATTGAAGCCAAAAGCTGCAATAAGATATTGATAAATTAAGTGACTAGGAACTTAAAAATTAGGAATAGAAATAGGCCACTCAGCCTCTCGCGCCTGATCAAAAAGATCCTGGCTGATTTGATACCTCCGCACCCTCAGTGCGAACAATTTCATCATTTGTCTTAGATGGGTGACCAACTACAGTAACTCAGTGCTCCAGATTTTCCAACAACAGGAAACATGGGCAATGGGCAAAATTGTTTTAAATCAATTTAAGGTAAGCCAATCAACAATGAAAGCCATGAAGAAAATGCTTGAAAAGTATAGGCAACATCAAAATGACCAAATTTGTGTCACCCTTGGTCACTCACTAATGGTCAAC